ACAAGCTGGCATGGCAAGTATGTGTTTAATATTCAGTTTCCATGAAAATGTGAGTTGCATTTGATCATCTTTGGTGTTCAGATTTTAGACCTTCGAGATCAATGAAAACTAATTATGCTAATTTACTACTCCGTAGCTTTTTCTTCCTGAGGAGAAAAAGAAGGATTAAATTGTGAAAATTTAAAATCTTTATAGTTCAGCATAACATGGAACATATTGTTTAAAATGCCACACAGGCACACACACACACAAACAAAAAGAAGTGTTTTATAATACAGTAGTCTTAAGAAATAAAGAAAATTTTAAAGGACAGAAATACAGCACAGAGAACACACCACTTAATAGGCAACAAAATTGTGATGTTCATTGAAACACAATGTCGCAAAACTAATTAATGCAAATTAAAAGGAAAAGGTCAGAAAAATTATTGAAAGAGCTATTATTAGAAACAATGTTGGTTACTTAAGCCTGAGAATACACACAAGAACCATAATTATTTCTGACAAGCCCCAAATACCGTGGTTTTTCCCAAGCACCTTTTACTGGGCACTGTTGAAGTCAGGACTTTATCCTCGACAGGCTTTCTGCCTTTTGCAGTGCAGCATTTCTCTCATTCTCATGCTCTGCCAGAATAGACAGATCATCAATGGATGGAGAGGCCCTTGGAGAAAGTTTCAATCTACTTTCTTAAAAGCACATGGGTCAAAGTCTTGGCTAACAGTCATTAGGCTTTATTTTTTTCTCTGACTCTTCTATTTTTACTTGACTGCTGATTTTGTTTCATTAATTGTCTCAACAGAACTACTTCATTATGTGACCTTAGACATGGTATTTAAACTGCGTCACTCAGTTACTTCTCAATACAGTTAAGGTGACGATTACTTTTTAACCTTAGTGTGTTAAGTGTACAAATTAGAGATAATACTATATAAGTAGAAAGCAGCAGTGAAATGAAAAAGTGCTAGAATAAAATTTTTCACATTTCCACCACAGAACTTAAGTACCTTTCTTTCAAAATGCTTAGTCTGCATTCTGTTTATTATCTTTAAAACAGCTTAATTATATGACTTAATAGTGCTAGGTGTACATTATTTTCAAATGTAATCGTTGCCTTGAGTCACTAGGATCCAATAAACTTCCAAAGGCCAGTATGAAAGCAGCATGCCATCTTGTCTCCAATTCAGGCAGAGCAGTACCCCCTTTACATCATGAGGTAGAATTTCTGTTGGTTGAATTGCTGCTAGAGTCAAAATGGGACAACATATTTGAAATTTATTTCTCAGTCACCTACTTTTCTACTTGCTCTTCTGATTTCAGGCCGTAGATTTCAAAAGACCATAACTTTGAATAAAGTATTGACTACAAAAGCTGAGTATGAATCCTCTACAAACCCAACTTCTCCAAATGAAATTTCATGGTGACTCTTACTAACAATAGTATGGCTGCCAAATTTAGATCATTCAATGTACTTTGCTCCACGTGTGTTTTGGAACCCCCAATCTTCTTCCCTGTATGACAGTGTCTATATTCAGATGATGGTTCCATTTTTTTTCTTGGAAATCTCATAGATATGTATTGTTGTTGTTGCTCTTTCTGAAAAAAAGCAAATTAATTTCCCCAGGGAAAGGAGGAGGATTTTCTATAAAATTAGTTTTCTCTTCACAATATGAGTAAAGAACCATGTAATTACTGTCACTTGATGTCCTATAAGTTTTGCCATTAACATCTACCTTTTATCAGTCTTTTTTTTTTTTTCTTTTTTTTTTTTCTTTCTTTTCTGGAAGTAACATAGGAAATAAAATAAAACATAATTGCAACTATTCAACTCTGAGGAACTACATGAGATCAAATCAACTGATTTAAGATTTGGAGTACAGAATGTATTCATGTTAATGCAAAATTATATGTATGAGGTTCTGAGCCAGATGATGAAAAAACAACAGTTAAAGGAGATTAAAAGGGTGGTTAAAAATCCTGGCTCATACATTTTAAAACAAACAAATTAGCCAGAAGAAAAATGAGACGTTTCAGAGTACAATTTAAATTACAAATGCCTACTATCACTTTACCTAATAAAGGTCAAGAAACCTCACTTAGTTTTTAAACTGTGCCTATTACTTATATTCATGAAAGATCTCCGGCCTTGAAACAAAGACTGCAATGCTGGTCCAGCCACAACCCCTGTAGATGCTCATTATGTTAAAGAATATATTGTTTTGCTTTCTTTAAGCTTAAACAACAATCAGCATCTTCAACCACATTCTATACTCAATTATCACACATACTTACAAACTTCAAAATTTACATATCCCTGAAAAACTTTCTCAATTTAAGACAGAACACCGCCATCTGCTCTTGTGCCTTATTACCCTGATTTGTTAAAAGAAACATATTCAAACAACATACAACTATTAAATATTAGCAAGGATACATCTGCAGCCTAGCAGAGGACATTGCATTTGAAGACTTTGAACAGGCCACAGCTTCTGTGTTGGGCCTAGTATTTAAAGCCTTGACAAGTTCATGTGTTAGCACAAGTAGGGGCTGAAACAGAATATGCTGGAGCACCCTATGACACTGGTGTTATAACAGAGCAGGCTGTTTTCAGTCTCCCAGGAGGAGATATTTGGTTTTGTTTGTGAAGCAAGGTAAAAGCCAACACAGTAAATATATATACACACATACATATGTTTTTTATTCTATCTTACTGATGTGTCTATTTTAATACACCATTCACAGGCCCGTCATATTAGTAACCATATTTTTTACTTTTTTTTAATTACTTCTGTATACACTAGCATCACTTGCTTCAGTGGTAACTACCTAAGAAAATGCTCAATGATCTTTTAAATCTATGGTTTTTTGTTGGTTTCTTTTTTTCTTTTTAATTAAAAATTGCCATTTTGTATTTACTTTATGATCTACAGTTAAGCAACTTGGTCTTCATTTCTTTTCTCCCAGTGTTACACATTCTGAAAGCTAAATAAAAACATTCTCTTGAATTGTCACTTAAGCAAAATGGGTATCAACTAAACCTTAACAGCTGACGTATTTCCTGGCTTGTCATGATAAATAAGCAGTGCAGTTCAAAATGGCCTTTGGAATGGGAAAAGACCAGCATCGTATGGTATATGTTACTCCAACAAACAGAAAAAAATAAACTCATCTTCCAAAATATGGATTCCGAGTAATTTACTTTTATTCCATATTTGTCTCATCCAAACACAAAAGCTTTGCATTTAAAATACTGTTATACCTTTAAATGTTTTCAAAAGCAATTTCAAGACGTTTGAAGGGATGTGCTCTGCATACTTCACTTATAGCCAATACTAATGGCACTGACAACTAACCTGCTTAATATCCTAGATGCATCATAAGAAGAACTAACCTGTTACATTCCCTTTTTCTTATTCCCTTACTTTAACCTGTTGCATAGTAAAGCCTTGTCTGGCAGCTGAACCACACAAATTTATTACTATCTTCTTTTTTTAAAACAATAGTGCTGAAAGTGAAGATAAGGTTAAGGTGATCCACCTTTTTTTTCAGCATCCACTGACAAGCAGAACGAAAACATTTACTGAGTTATCTGCTTTTAATTTTATTCTTATTCTATGTGAAATTCAGATTTGACGGGTTTACAAACAAAAGCGTAAAATGTAAGTTAACACATTTTTTCAGAGTTATCTACTGACTGCATCAACTTTTATTAACGTGAATACGTCAATACAAATTCTTTGAAATTCTATTCTGTTCTCCTGAACATGCATTTAAATTTCAACTCAGGTTGGGCAAAAATAATAACCAAACATTTTTATGAATACTAAACTCTTATTTGTCAGTTCAAAGTCAAAGATGAACACTTTGCTTTTGGTCAAATGTGAACTTCAGTCTCAGATGAACTTTTGGACATTCAGCTGATTATATATATGTAATTTTAGATTGGGTACTCATACAGGACAAAATATTTATTTGTTTATACATCCCTATTTTAATATACACTCTTAAAGGAGAGTAAATATTTCAATAAATGGTATCATATGGATTGGTATGATTAGCAGGAATTTGCTCCTTACCTTCAATGTTAATTTTTCTCTAATTTATTTTCTAAAAGAATTCCTTTCTGGTAGCACATAAACTCAATAGAGACTACAATAAAAGGAAGAAAAAATGGCTCATGAGCTAAATTTCTGCCCCATACTTGCAAGCTTAAAATAAAGTCTTTGTCTATGATGCATTCAACAAGTAAAAACTTGTTTAGCACTGCCATAAAATAAAATGCCAGC